GGCAGCGGGGCCTAGACCGGTCTTGGGAGGGGCTTGCCTGCATTCCCCAGCACGCCCCGATAGTCCTGGTGGGAGGGCGGATGGAATACACGATGGACCCGTCCTTCAGCTGCTCTCTTCCTGTAGAGTGAATTGAAGCAGTAGACCAGCAGAAAGGAGGCCCAGGCCATCGAGAGTTTGCCCCACATTGCCAGAGCAGCTTCCCTCGCTTTCTGGGGCTTTGCTCCACTTTCCTCCTGAAGGTCTCTGGAAGGGGCTCCCTGGGGGTGGGAGGTGGAGGGTGGGCACTTCCACAGGATCAGCTTCCTTATCAAAGGTGGGGCTGTTTGAGACCACACCACCCTGAGAGGAGCTGGGGGCTCCTCCTTTGCAGACTGAGGCTTTGCATTTGCTTGAGAAGAAGGGTGGGTAAGGGTGGTTTACCAGCCGTGGCCTGGGCTAGTTGCTGGGGCCAAGGAGGACCCCATGCAGCCTGCAAAGAGTTAAGACTGGATGTGCCGTTGGCTCTCTGTGGCAGGCTGGATGCCTGAAGCTGGGCTGCCCCTCCTACACCACCTCTGCCCTCTCCCTCCCACGTAGACCAGCGAGAGCGAGGTCCACTTTGATGTGGAGACAGCCATCAAGGTGCTGCGCCAGGCAGGCTGTTACTCCCATGCCGTCTATCTGGCCGAGAAGCATGCGCATCACGAGTGGTACCTCAAGATCCAGCTGGAGGATATCAAGGTGAGGCCTGCCTGCCCCTTTTGCTACGAAAGCAGACTTCATGGAATGCCTGCAGATGCCGGAGAAGTTGGGGGGGGGAGAGGTCTGGGAGACCTGTTGTCCCTTTCTCACCAGACAGCTGTCTTTCGATACTGCTGCAAAACATGGAGAAGGGGAGAAACCCAAGAATTGGTGTCCTCACAGTGCAGATGGAGAGGTGGTTGCCCTGCAAGGGCTTGGGAAGCTGGTAGCCATACCCCCACCCCCCACCCCACAAATAGCTGCATCATTTGGCCATTGCAATGCCGCCTTTTCCTTTCTTAAAGCAGCCAGGACTACAACAGCAGGTTGTTTAAAAAACAAAAATCCCAGTGCCAACCCTTTATATTCTTCCCAGTTTAGTATCTGGGTATGTTTATTTCTTTTTGTATTATGCCCTGATGTCAGTTCAAGTAATCAGTAACATTGTCTTAAAACAGTATTAAAAACTCAAGAGAGTTTGCGGTTGTGTAACACAACTTAAAATATAGTTTGAAGAATGGAGAGGGAACAAAACCAGCAGATCGATAGAAAGGGAACTCACTCAGCGTTGAACGTCTGGGCAGAATCGGCTTTTCACTTCCTGCTGAAATAATGGCCGTATCGGGTCCAGTTGGACCCTCAGAAGGAGGAGCATTCATGCCAAGATATTTGGGCAAGGGCTTGCTGCAGCCCTTTGCTGAGCCGCTTGATGCCCTCCGGAGGCGTGTGAGCAGGAGATGAGCTCCTTCGGTCTCCCTCTCCTTCTCTGGCAGAGCTACCAGGAGGCCCTGCGCTACATTGGGAAGCTGCCCTTTGAGCAGGCCGAGAGCAACATGAAGCGCTACGGGAAGATCCTGATGCATCACGTGCCCAAGGAGACCACAGAGCTGCTGAAAGTCCTGTGCACGGACTATCGGCCGGCGGGGGACCGCGAGGGCCCTTCTGGGCTGGAAGGGAGGAAGGTATGGGTAGCAGCTGGGGCTGGCCACGGGTATGATGGCAGTAGCAAAGCCGTGGCGTGGCCCTTGATCTGACTGTGCCACTGATGATTCTGCTGACAGCGGGGTGACTGTATTATTGCTGCTGTTCCCTTAACAAAACACTCACTGGGAAATAAAATCCCAGGCTGCAGGAAAGCCTGGTTTGTTCACCTGCAGAGATACTGTGGAGAGAAGCCCAGCTTGAAAACCAGGTGTCCTGGACAGTTTGGGGGTGGGGGTGTCAGGGAGGGCAGGCGGAGAGCACCCAAGCGAAAGCATCGGTTTTCGGAGCCCCCGCCTGGCTGCTTCCCGCCCCAGCTCAGATGTGCTCCACTGCCGTCGCTCCATTGCTTCCCAGACTTACCAAGAGCTTTGGGGTCACGGACAGGCCTCGCCAGAGGAGGCATTCAGGGACGTTGTGGGCAGGACGGGGGGCTTCGCTTGGGAAGGCGGGAGCAGGGCTCCCCGGGGCAGGGCGGCTTCTGCCTGGTGCTTTCCTCCCTCCTTGTCTGATGCAGGCCAATCCGGAGGAGTTCATCCCCATCTTTGCCAACAACTCCCGGGAGCTGAAGGCCTTCCTGGAACACATGTCGGAGGTGCAGCCAAACTCTCCCCAGGGCGTGTACGACACTCTGCTGGAGCTCCGCCTCCAGAACTGGGCCCACGAGAAGGACCCGCAGGTGTGTCTCAAACGCACCTTCTCCCGTGACTCAGAGCCAGTGCCGTGGCTCTGTGATCCCGGCTGGACTTGCTTAGGGGAGGCTTCCCCTCAGAGCTATTTGTGGCCAGACTCTGGTGGCCCAGCCTGAATAGGCGCCTGCAGTAAAAGAGGCCAGCCCTCCTTAGCCCCTGGGCCTTTGGCTGGGTGACAGGTGGGGTGCGTGTGTGCTAGGATCTGGGCCTCCTCGCAGCTCCTGCCCCACTGCCTGGGGAGCCCTGCAGACGGTGCCACTCCTGTGGGTCTGGGTCCCTTGCAGGTCAAGGAGAAGCAGCACAACGAAGCCCTCTCCTTGCTGAAGAGCGGGAGGTTCCAGAGCGTCTTCGATAAGGCTTTGGTCCTGTGCCAGATGCACAACTTCAAGGACGGCATCCTGTATCTCTACGAACAGGGCAAACTGTGCGTGTGGGGAGGAGCCCCCCACCCCCTGGCTAGGCCTCTGGGATGTTGTTGGGGGTGGGTCTGACGTTTTCCAAAGGGCAGGGAGCTTCTGCAATCCTGGCTTGCATGGCGCCCGGAGAGTGGGATAGGAAACCGTCGAGCCACGGAGGGTGCACGCATGCATGCATGCACCTACACACGTCGCTGATGTGCCTTTGGCCTGGAACAGAGAGGTGTGCCCCTGGCTCTTACCTGTCCCCTCCCCTCCCCCCGCATTCCCCAGTTTCCAGCAGATCATGCACTACCACATGCAGAACGAGCAGTACCGGAAGGTGGTGGAGGTCTGCGAGCTGTACGGCGACCAGGAGGCCTGCCTCTGGGAACAGGCCCTGGGCTACTTTGCCCACAAGGAGGAAGACTGCAAGGAGTACATCACTGCGGTGCTCAAGCACATCGAGACCAAGAACCTCATGCCTCCGCTGCTGGGTGAGGGGGAGCCCCCCCCACTGCTGCTACTGGTGCGGGGGGGGAGGGCAGGATAGATAGAGCCTGTCTGGGAAGAGGGCTGCCTCTTGCAGAGGGCTGGAGAACCGAGAGCGCCAAGCGGCAGGCGGAACCCGAGGCAGGCGAGGTGGCAGCTCTTCTTCTGAAAGGGCTCGGTGAGGGCTGGCACAGGGCCGCGTCCTGACGATTGTGCCCTGGTTGGGTCAGGTCGGCTTTCTTAAGAGAGAGTTGCTTGTGGCTTCCTGTGTGTGTTTTGGGGAGAGGAGGGACTCCCCTAGTGTTATGGGAACAGTGTTGGTCCTCCTCTTGTCCTAGTGGTGCAAACGCTGGCTCACAACTCCACGGCCACACTGTCGGTCATCAAGGACTACCTGGTCAGCAAGCTGCAGAGGCAGAGCCACCAGATTGAGCAAGACGAGCAGAGGATTCAGAAGTACCGGGAGGAGACCAAGCGGATTCGCAAGGAAATCGAGGAGCTCAAGGCCAGGTAGTCGAAAGACCTCGTTCCTGGACCTGATTTTGTCTTTTGCAGGAAGCCTCCCCCCCACCCCACCCCCGAGGGCTCAGCCCCTGCTTTCCTGACCTCCACCCACGGCTCTGCTCTCTCTGTGAGGATGCATTTCCCAGATCTTGGGAAAGGCTGGAAATGTTGTTTACGAAAGAGAAGCAAACCCGGGTTTCATTTGCAGGAGACCTGGGATTTGGGGGAGGGGGTCGGTTCTGGGCTCTAAGCTGGGTGTTCTGAGGCAGGCTGGGGGGCCCTGGCCAAGGGGGGGCGGCGCAGGGCGGGGCGAGGGGGGCGTTGCTCACACAGCCCCTGCGCCTCTTGCCTCCCAGTCCCAAGATCTTCCAGAAGACCAAGTGCAGCATCTGCACCAGCGCCTTGGAGCTGCCCTCCGTCCACTTCCTCTGCGGCCACTCTTTCCACCAGCACTGCTTTGAGAGCTACTCCGAGAGCGGGTCGGAGTGCCCCACGTGCCTGCCAGAGAACCGCAAAGTCATGGACATGATCCGTGCCCAAGAACAGAAGCGGGACTTGCATGACCAGTTCCAGCATCAGGTGTGTGCTCGTGTGTGTGTGTGTGTGTGTGTGGGGAGATCCTAACCCTCTTAAAACGAGGGACCTTTCCTCCAAAGTGACCCCTTTCCCTCCCTCTTAACAGCTCAAGTGCTCCAACGACAGCTTCTCTGTGGTGGCGGATTATTTTGGCCGGGGTGTTTTCAACAAGCTCACCCTCATCACCGACCTTCCCCCTGGCAAATCCGCGGCCGCCCTTGATGCTGGTCTGCAGCGTGACCTGCTCATGCACTCCAAGCGGAGCACTTAGATGTAGGCGGAGGCTTTGCCCAGAGCTCCCTCCGCTCGCCTGACCGGAGCAGATTCAGGGGCTGGGAACTCGCAGGAGTTGGAACCTGGCCAGAGTGGGCCTCTTCAGAAGTCCAGAGCGGCCGAGTTTGTCTGAAGAACCGGTGCCCCTGCCCCTCCCCTTGCTTCTTTCCAGCTCTGCTCCCTCGCAGTGCCCGGCCAGGGGCTGTGGGGCTTCTCTGCAGCCACAAGTCAGCATCGGGCAAAGGTGTCGGTTTTGGGTGAACGTTGTCCTTTGGAGAAGAGGGCCACCCGAGGGAGTCGCGCCCCTTCTGGGACCACAGACGGACTGGTTTCACCTCTTTTCCCAGGCTTTTCTCTGAGCGCTTGCAGCAGCTCCCGGTGGCGTCTGGCGCCTGAGCCCGGGGGGGGGGGCTGCTGCGTGTCGCTGCCTTGTGCAAGGGGCCTCCTGCAGACCTCCCTTCGGGTCCCAGGTCACTCTCTGGCCTGGCCTGCCCTGCATGGAAAAGGACAACTGCCCTGTTGTAGCTCAAATAAAATGCATTGCCCGGAGCTCAGCTGTGATAAGTGGTGTGTGGAGCGGCGAGGGGCAGGTCTTCCCTTGGGAATGGATTCCGAGGAGAAGCCCTGCGGAACCCCAGGGCTCTTCTGCCGCCTTTTCCTTAGTGATGCTTCCCTTTCGTTCCTCCAGCGGGTGAATAGTAGCTCAGGGTGGGGTGGGGGTGGCTTCTTTTTTCTGCCCTTCCTAAAGGCTGCCAGGTCAAGGGAGGCCCGGAGCAGCTCTTCTGGCAACAGGAGGAGTCTTTGGAGGCTCTTCCCTGTTCATGAAGGGATCTGTGAGTTCCAGTCAAGGCCTTACAAATGGCTCGTAGTCAATGGCAAGAGGTTTGGCCTGCAAGCAGGTGCCTCCCACCTCCTTGCCACCCTGCGGTGCCAGTTGCTGGACTCCCCCTGCAGGGAAGCCTCTTTCGGGACTGATGGCTCTGGACTGTTTGGTTCTGTGACTGGCGAAGGCAGCTTTGTGTGTCATCTCAGGCCAAAAATAAAGAAAAAGGTGGTTATGCGAGGGTTGGAGCAGCCATGAGGGTCCTGGGGTGACGGGTGGAGGGGCTCCTGACCCCCCTGGGCAGTCCAAGCAGGGCCATGCCTGAGGTGCTCTGGGCTCAGGGATATTCACGTGTTGTATTTCTTAGAATATTTGCAGCCTGCCCTACAGCTGGAGGTGCCGGTAGGGTGCGGTAAGTGCGGGTGATCATATAGTCCCAATCCGGGACCAGAATTAAAGACTGCACAGGCGTCCATTGTTCAGAGTCCATTCGGGGTCCTTGGGCTCCAAAGCTCTCCCTGGAGGACCAAAGGCTCCGTTGGGTGCCCAAGGGGCACAGGCAGGCCTGTGGGGTTTCCCTAAGCAGGGCCCTTTTTATGCACAAATCCCTAGGGCGAGGGGAAGAGGCCAGGAAGCGCCGCTGCCGCTCTGCGGTTTGCTTACTAGGTGGGGGAAGCAGGCTGGGAAGGCAGGGAATTTTCTCTGGCCAAGGCGGAGGGAGGGAGGGAGGGAGGGAGTCTTGCAGCCCTTAAGAATCCTGCCACGGTTGTTGGGTGGGTGGGTGGCAAAGAAGGCAGCAGCAGTCTCTCCCAGCAGTCTCTCTCCCTCTGCAATCCCCACCTAGCCCTGTAGTGCCAGGCTAGAGGTGAAGGAGACCCGGGTTCGAATCCCCTCCAGGGCTTCTCATCTGTTGGGATACCCTCCCCACTCGGAGGGAGTGGGGAGAGAAGAGCCCATGGAAGAAAGGCAAGATCCAAAGGGAAGAAACGGCAGCAATGGGTGGTGGTCCCCAAAGGGGCTCGGCTCTGCCCTGCCCTGCCCTGCCCTGCCCACCCGCTCTTAAGCGGCCTGCTCCAGTGGCAGAGAGTTCCGCCGTCTGAGTCAGGCGCCTCTCCTCCGTGGGAAAACAGCGGGGAGGGGAGCCGCAAACGGGACACCGAGAGGAGGAGGAGGGCCGCCACCCCACGTCACGGAGTTTCTCCCTGCGCTCCCGGGCGGTAATTACGGGCAGGGGGCGTGGCCTAGCTCAAGGAGACTGAGGCCGGCGGACCGGATGCCCACCCGCCGGAAGTGACGTCCGGAAAGGCCGGTGCCGGAGGGGGGGCGCGTGGAGCGGAGAGGGAGCCTGGCCGGGCGGAACTCCTCGCCTTCCCCGAGGCCCGGCGCCCAGCATGACCTCCGGGCCCCCCGCCGGGGTGAGTGTGCAGCTGCTCACAAGGAAGAGTTGCATGGCCACACTGTCTTCATAGGTTTCTGTCCCAGGAAGACAACAGCATACCCACTATTCTCTTCTATAAAGCAGATATTCCTAATGCGTGCAAGCTGGTAAATAAATAAAACATTATATAAAAGCCGTGGAACCTCTTTCTTCTTCTTCTTCTTCTTCTTCTTCTTCTTCTTCTTCTTCTTCTTCTTCTTCTTCTTCTTCTTCTTCTCCTCCTCCTCCTCCTCCTCCTCCTCTTGCACAACCCGGGCAGGGCTGAGCTCGGCTGCCTGTTGCCCAACCCGGCAGGCAGGGTCCACCCTGGGAGGCCGAGCCCCGGCTGGAATGTCCCCCGAGCAGTTCCTGCCTCTGGGCTGGCGGGGGGGGGGGAGGAAGGGCAGAGGTATGGCCGAATGCTGGCCCAGAAGCTGCTCCTGCAGAGCCTGAAGCGTCTCTTTCTCGGGTCAGGCTGTGGCCCTCCTTGTTGCAGAGGGTGGCGCGGGGCACCTTCGGCAAAGCAGGGGGTGGGAATGGCCCCACGGCTAGCCGGACAGCCCCCGCCCCCCGCCTGCTTTTCCTAGAAGGGCTGCACTCTGTGTGAAAGTCTCGGCCAGCTCCTTGGAGGCTGCCCTTCCTTCCTTCCTTCCCAGCTCGGCTCCGCCCCTGGGTGGCCCTGGGCTGCCCCCTCCCCTCCCCTCCCGCTGCCCCTCCCCTCCTCCCTCCTTATCTCTGGGCCCAGACTGGGGGCTGCCTGGCAAGGAGCAGCACAACTCCCTTGGTCACAGACACAGTCATTGCAAGGCGGGAGAAGCTGCTTCCAGCCCCCCCCCCCGTAGAAGAAGCCCAGGGAAGCCCTCTGGCCAGGATGATGGCCCAGGTGGTCTGCCAGCAGAGTCAGGTAAGGGGAAGAGGGAGGGCCGAGTGCAGCTCTGGGCCCGTTTGCAGGGCTGACCCTCGGACAGAGTGGGGTCCCTTTTATCTTTTGCCTCTCCTTTCATGGAGCTCCTGGCAGCATCCCTGGCACGCTTCCTCCCCAGACTGTCCTCACAGCTGCTCTGCGAGGTCACTAGGGCGAGAGAGTGTGAGGATTTGAACCCAGGACTCCTGAGTCTTAGTGCAGCACTCTAACCACTCTACTAAACTGGGGATCATTCGTCAATACTGAGAGGTCTTGGCATTTCCTAGCACTGGGTCAGAAACCAGGGCTTCGTGCTTTATTTTTCCCCCTCCCATACAAACCCCTGCCCTGCTCACCGGTGCAGCTGTGCCACGAGAGTGTCACCCTCACCCCACCTTTGATGAAGGTTGCTCATCCACCCACAAGCTAAGAAGGGGGCAGAAGCCCATCATAGCCACGTTGGTCTGAATTTGCTACCCCCTCGACTCCCCCTAGGTTTGTGGGTCCCCTTCCCTCTCTGCGTGCTTCTCCTTGTAATGCGTGGCTGGCAAGGAGTGGATTTGGACAGCTCTGCTCTTTCCAGGTGTTGGGTTTCTGTTTGGCCGGACCATCTTCCCTGAGAGCATTTTAGGGAATAAAGATGACATTGGTAATGCTTGTTGAAGATGACGCTATTCAATGCCCAGGTGGTGCGGGACAGGGTGGCCAGTGGAGAGGTGGAGTCCTCCTCCTTGCCCCCCTGCCCCCAAGAGTTCGTGTCCTGGTTGTGAAAAAGGGGGGATTTTAGGGCAGACCAGAGAAGGTGAGGACGTGTTTGCTTCCGTTGCCCCCTTGTTGGGCTGTTTGTTTTCCTCGTGGAGTCCTGCAGAATGTCTGCCTTAAAGGAAGCCCCCAACCTGGGCCTCTTCCTCTCCGGAATGCAGTACCTTCGTGCAAGGAAGGCATCCCGGTGTGGCAGCTCCCACCTGGACGGGCGGAGAGGGAGGTGGAAGCGGGAGGCAAGGCGGACCTGAAACTGACGGTCTCTCCTTCTTCACAGGACAAAAATGGCAATGGCTTGAACCATCAGACCATTCGCGTGGGGACCAGAAAGAGCCAGGTACGGCCCCACAACCCAGCCTCTGGCTTGCTGCCTCTCTCTCTCTCTCTGCCTCTCTGGGCCCAAACCTTGGGGCTGCATGCACGAACCCACAGAAGAGGCCAGGTGGTTCTCTGTAGGGCCTGGGTAGCTTGTCTTGTTGTTGTTGTTGTTGTTCCATGGCCGGGGGGGGGAGAGCTGATGGGGCCCAGGAGCCCAAAGAAGAGAAGAGCGGGGTGCAAGGCACGGTGGTGCCCTTCAGACACTCAGAGGGCTCTCAAGTGGAAGAGGCAAACGTGTGGTTTCCTCGGCCTGATTAACTGGGGAGGTTAAAGCTACACACTGGATTGTATTCACTGGGGGTTAAAAGAGGCTTGCCTGGCCAGGAAGAACCCTTTAGAAGTGGAGGGAAGTGGCCCACGCCCGTGATCGTTTTTGTTTTGCCACAAAAGTGTCCTAAAGGCAAGGAGCCCCCCCCCCTCCCTCCCAGGCAACCCCTGTGGTCAGGCCAGCAGCTGGAGTCATGAGAGAGCGGGTCCATGGGTCCCATGGGCCTGCTTGGGTTCAGGAGAGCAACCGTTCCCACACACACGTTTCACCCTGGCAAGAGGAGGAGGAAGCTCTGAGTGGGAGGGAGAGGAAGAGGCTTGTAAGACAAGATAAAGACCTGCCCTTGTGCAAGAGGGCTAATCTCCACCTGCCGGCTGGGGCGGCTCCTGCTGCTGCTGCTGCTGCTGCTCTTAGTGGTGCTCCAGGGATGACCCCCTTTCTGAAGGGAGGCCCCACAGAGCAGGGCGGTGGTGCCTGGAGTGGTTGGAGGAGGTGGGGTAACGAAAGCAGAACGGCCCCGCTCCTAGAAGCCTGGGCCACCTGCCTCCTCTCTCCTCCTAGCAGAGCTTCAGGCTAGGCTGGTGCTCAGCACCCACGGGCTGCGGCGGCTTCTGCAGCTGCGCCCTCACTACTTGTCCAACGTTGCTCCTAGTGGCACTTTGTGGCTGGCAGGGTTCAGCCCTGATGGCCAGGGTTTGGGCAGAACCGAAGCCAAAGGAAGGCCCTGGGCACGCAAGACTTAGGGCTTTGGCAGGTTGAATTGGGGGGGGGAGGCGTTCCATCCCCTGGGTGGTGATGGGCACAGGCAAGGCTCTGGGCAGGGTTTCCCGTCTTGCAGCCACTGTGTTTCGGGGGCATCTGCCAGCCAAGGGGAGAGGGAAGCCCCAGTCCTTCCCAGTCACTGCCCTTTTCTCATTGACCCCCTGCAGCTGGCCCGGATCCAGACGGACAGTGTGGTGGCGATGCTGCAGAAGCACCACTCCCACCTCCGCTTTGAGATTGGTGAGTGGAGGGGGAGGCTCTCCCCACGTGTGACCCAGGGGGAGGGCCAAAGCCAAGCAGGGGAGGGGGGCACCCAGGCCCTGCTCAAGACAGGTGTCAAAGGCCGTGGTGGAAAGCAGGTGGGCTGAGCACCCCGTGGCTGGTGCAGGACTAGTGCCGTCTGGCTCTTCGCCTTGCTCTGGGCCTCCCGAGGGTTGCAGGTGTAAAGAAGCAGGTAGGTGGCTAGGATGGCCCCCCTCCTCCCCCCCTCCTCCCAGGATCTTCTGTTTCTACATTGACTCACCTGATCATCTCTCTTTCTCTTTCTCTCTCTCTCTCCCTTAATAGTTGCCATGACAACCACAGGGGACAAAATCCTGGACACAGCACTGTCCAAGGTCAGCAGCTGGGAGGCAGGGCAAGTGGGAGTAGGAGTGGGTTAGGGGGTCACCCAGGACGTGACGCTCTGTTTTCCCCCTTTAGATTGGAGAGAAAAGCCTCTTTACCAAGGAGCTGGAAAACGCACTGGAAAAGAACGAGTGAGCGCTTTTGGCCTGGCAAGGCCTGCCCCCTCCCCCCCCCGTGGGGTGCCCTTTCTCCTCCCCAGCACGTGTCATGCTGGGTGGGGTGGGGGCGGCTCCTGCAAAATCAAAACATGGGGTCCAGACATCAAGGTCTGCCCCACTAGCTTGGCTAGTGAGGAGAAGAGGACCAGCAGAGAGGGGGACTAAAAAGGGAAGCCCTCGGAGTGCGTGTCTGTCTCGGTGTTGTGACTCTCTGCCCTTTCCTAGGCAATCTCATCTTCCGATCTGCCCGTCGTGCAAACGTTCAGGGCTCTCACTTTGTGCAGACTGAGTTAGACAAGGCCTTGGGGCTGGGCCTGAGCCAGGTCATGTCCTTCAGAATCTCTGTCTCTGTGTCCCCCCCCCCCAACCCTCCGGCTTTAATGCTGAGCTGAGCGTTCCCCTTTGGCCAGGCTTTCCCTTGCTGAGTTGTTCTGCTTCTCTGCTTCCCCCAGAGTTGACCTGGTGGTCCATTCTCTGAAGGATCTGCCCACCTCCCTCCCCCCTGGATTCACCATCGGCGCCGTCTGCAAGTGAGTCTTGAGGTCCTGGGCTCTCTTGGGGCCCCCGCCTGCTCTGTGTCTTGCCGAAGGGGCTGTGGGCGGCCAGCTGCTGTCCCTTTTGCGCAGAGGCACACAGGCCCTGGAAAGGCAGTCCTACAGAATGTGGGTCTGAGTGGGTGGGTGTCCCAAAACCAGGCATCCAGGCGGCCACCCCCATCTGGCTCTACTGGGAGGCCTCCATCAGCGTCTGCTGTCGCTCTGCCTGTCCGCTTTCTGAAAGGCACCCTCCCCCCCCCCAATTCTTCTGCAGAAGAGAAAACCCATACGATGCGGTTGTCTTTCACCCCAAGCATGTGGGCAAAACCCTCAGCAGCCTTCCTGAGAAGAGGTGAGCCCTCCCGGGTCCTCCCTGTCCTCCTTCCCCCACTTTGAGCTTTACCTTCTGTGCAAAACTTCCAGCCTTTGAGAGCCTTGGTCTCCGGGGCCTGGAGTGAGCCATGACTGGGGGTGGGGGTTGGGGACCAGTGGTTCAAGCGGGCTCTTTAAGGAGTGCCTGCTTTGGAATGGAAAAGAGCCTGCAGGGGGCGTTGGCTCTGTGCAGGGCGGAGGGCCCGGGGATTCTAGGCTTCCCTCAAGTCGTTTTTCTGGGGGGGTGGCTCAGCTGCCCTTTTGATGATGCTTCTGTCTGGCCTCCCCACAGCGTGATTGGGACCAGCTCACTCCGGCGGGCAGCGCAGCTGAAGAGGAAGTTTCCTCAACTGCAGTTCAGGGATATTGTATCCTTTCCTGGGTTGTCAACACATGGGGCTGCCATGAACCTCAAGGACAGGCGCGGCCCTGATGTTTAGATCCTTAAAAACCACGGGGAGCCCCTCTGCAGGGCCACTGCTTGGGGGGGACAGCTGGGGGACCCTTGCCTGTCCAGCTTCTTCTTTTCTTGCTACAGCAGAAACGCCTGCCATTGTCTCCCCCAGCCCTGAGAAAGGAGGCAGCTTGGGTGAGAGGAGAGTGGAAGAGATATCCCATCATCCCCACACCTCACAGCACTTTTCTGACCCCCCCCCTTTGGGCGGTCATGGCACCAAAGCCCCCCCCCCGGGGCCAGCTCCCTGCATGCACCCAGAGGCGCCTTGTTTTCACTTAAGCTTTCGCTCAGCGGGGCAACCTGAACACCCGCTTGAAGAAGCTGGACGAGAAGGAGGACTTCAGTGCCATCATCCTGGCGGCGGCTGGTTTGAAGCGGATGGGCTGGGAGAACCGCATTGGCCAGGTCAGGGCTATAGCTGGCCCCCCTCTCTGCGGCTGGGGTGTGTGTGTCTGTCTTTCGGCTCCTGCCATTGCCCGCCATAGGGCTGGTTGGAGGAGTGCCTGGACTCCTCTCTCTCCCCCTCTCTCTCAAGTGTCAGGTCTCGTTCAGGACCCAGAGATCCCCAGCACAAACCCCTTTTGCTTTCTTCCAGATCCTGAACCCTACAGACTGCTTGTACGCTGTCGGGCAGGTAAGGTTGTGGCTCTCTGCTCTTCTTCCATTGCACATAGAATCCAAGTCCAACACAGCTGGTGTGGGAGCAGCCCCGCTTCTGTTGTGCCTTCTGCCGACCGCAGGAAGGCTGCCGATGGGGGGGCTCCTCAGCTGTAGGGGAGACCAAGAGTGGTGGTGTGTTCTGTCTCTTCAGGGTGCTTTGGCGGTGGAGGTGAGAGCCAGGGACCAGGAGATCCTGGACATGGTATCCCTCTTACACGACGGGGAGACGGTGCTGCGCTGCATCGCTGAGAGAGCCTTCATGAAACACTTGGTATGCTCAGGGAGAGACGGCCTCTGGGGTCAAAGGTGGCTTGGCTGCTCACTGGGGGGTAGGGGTGGGGGCACGGTCACCCTCGCGAGGAGGAAAAGGACCTGCTACCAGCAGCGCCGTGAGAGGCCAGGGGCTGCAAAGGTTAAGAGGGTGAGTTCAGAAGACCGCAGTTCTCATGTGAGACAGAAAGGGCACTTCGTAAACAAAACTAATGGGACTTACCTGTCCGGTTTCCCTGTGCAGGAAGGTGGCTGTAGTGTTCCTGTGGCAGTGAGTACCCTCGTCAAGGATTCTCAGGTATGGATGGCGAGGGAAGTCAAAGGCCAGACACTCTTGCTTTGCCATTGCAGCTGGATGCTGCTTCGGGAGGGGGAGGAAGCTCCACTAAAGACAAAACGGGGGGAGGGGCTAGAAATATTCAAGTATGTCCCTCTGGGGCGGTAACGGCGCACAGATAACTGTACTCAAATGGGTCCCTTGAGCCCTCCAGCCGCTGCCTGGAGAGGAAGATGCCACCGCCCTGCCCTGCAGAGCCACTGAGAACACACTCCCTTTGACGCGCCTTCTTCTGTATGAGTTTTACCACCCTGCTTTGCATGTTTAAAAAAAAAACACACAACCCAACGAGCCGCTTGGAGGCACCTTCTCTGAGGAGGGAGCTAGAATTCAACCACCCTGACCTGCCTGACGTCCTCTTTCCTGCGGGCTTTCTCTCCCTAGTTATACCTGACGGGAGCCGTCTACAGCCTCGATGGGTCTGAGAGCCTGCGGGAGACCATGCAAGCCAACGTGAACTTTCCACTGGAGGTAATTCTTTGCCATTTTCTAGGCTGAGATGCCAGGTGGACAGAGAGACTTTGCAGCTCAGGGATGGGCCTCCATATATTTTTGCCCTGCAGCCAAAACCAGTCAGTGGATGATGGGGGTTGTGTGCCTGTTGTCAATGAAAACACTGTTTGAGGAAAGATCCAAAGGGGGGGGGCGCAAGCCCCTCCATGCTTGTCTGTTGGTGTGCAGCCTCCTCTCCTCATTCCTGGCAGCTGCCTGTATTTTACCTCCGTTTATTCTTGGACGCCTAGACATCCAGCCGCATTTTGGAGGCTTCTGCCTCCCTCCCTCCTTTCCACTCCAGTTCCACCCTATGAGCCTAGCAGAAAGCAGTGCTGGATTGTTTGGGGGGTGGGGATGTCTCACGCAACCCCCAGCAAACCTGGAATAATTTCATGGGGGAACCTAATGCCCTTTCCTCACCCACCTTCTCCCTCTCCCAGAGCGAAGACGGGCCCAATGATGACAACCAACACGTGGGCATCACAGCGAAGAATGTGCCTCGCCGTGCCCAGGTGGCTGCGGAGAAGCTGGGCCTGCAGGTGGCAGAGCTGCTGCTGAGCCAGGGGGCCAGGCAGATCCTCAACGTGGCCAGGCAGCTCAACGATGCCTGAGCGACAGCAGGGCCCCCTCTGGGCCCTGGGCAGCTGCCCCTGCCCCGTTCCTCGTGCCATGGGAGCCATGAGGCTGCCCACCTCCACGTGAAGGCTTCCTCTCAAGTGATTGCAGCAGCAGCTGCCTCTGGCCGGGGAGCTGCCCCCGATGGGCTGGTGCCCCAGGATGCCGGCCGATGCCCCAGAGGGAGGCCTTGCCCATGAGGAATCTGGGTTTCCCCAGGCCGGCCGATGCTTCTCATAGAAGCGGTTCCTGGGCACTGATGGGTGAGATGAAGGGTCTGATTTATGTTGCCTTGTAATTATTGCTGAAACTGAATAAAGAGATTTAATTTGAAATTAGTGACTGTGACAAAGTCTAGAGGAGCAAAATGGGCCAGGTTTCTTAATTGCCTTGAGAAAAAGATGGCTTTTTTTTCCTAGGGAAAAGTCACACCTTCATTCTAGCCAAGCTCTGGGAGAAGACAACAGGCTGCCTCCTGTTTCTTTCTGTAGCCAGGCAGGTTCTACTGGAAGCTCACAAGCAAGACTGGTCAGTGGTCGTTAGGGAAGGGGGGGGGTAAGAGAGAGGACGTTCTTTTCATGCCACATGAGCACAGGGTATTTTGGCGGTTTCCTGGGTGACTTTCCACCATCCCCATCCTGTGCCTTTCCATGGCTGATGGAAATCTTCGAGTTTTGGGGAGAAAGATAAAGACCAGCCCTCCTTTTTGCAGTAGGCCCAGGCAGCGTGGCTCTGGCAAATGCTGCCCGACAGGATACCCCACCTGACCTCACCGGGTCCCCGCCCCCCGCCCAGTTTTAGTGCAGCGGCAGAGACAAACCCTGCAGCCTCTCCTCTGGCGGGGAGGGTAACGCTCCCGTCTGCCCACTTTCTGGAGGAGGGGTTCGCCGGTGGCAGGACCTCGATCCACCCCACGCCCCGAACCGGCTGGCAGGAGGACGCCCGATCTCGCTTCTCCAACGCCCCCCCCCCAATAAACCAAGGAAACCCGGACGGTAAAGTATAAAACCCTTTTAATGAGCAACCGGACGCCGAGAGGCCCCAGCAGAACACAGTTCCGGAAGGGGAAGCCAGTCCCTTCGCCCCGTCGGGACGCCTCGCCCGCAGCATCCGTCCCCCGCGGCCCTGGAGGGAACACCGGAGATCCGCCTGGTCGCCGCCTCGTGGCTAGTACTCCTGGGAGGCCTGGCTCGACTTCTTCCTGGGCGCCGCCGCCGCCGTCGCGGCTCCGCTCCCGGCTC